CCCTACCTGTCAACTATTTAAACAATAAGCCTACAGACAGTCATACCCTACCTGTCAACTATTGTTTTAGAGACAGTCCTACACTATAGCTGCCGGTATTCAAACAGAGAGTCCTACACCATACCCTTTGCTCTTTATTGATTAATATAATAATCTGTGAAAACAATTCAACCTTTTCACATGAGTTCAATTGTCCCGCACGACGCTCGCTACTTGACAGCTTTTTTCCCCCTCATTTCACTCAATACTATTCATGTAAACCATGTTGAGTAAGGCAAGGGCCGGTTGTAAATAAGAAGCAGGACACACCAGAAGCCAAATATATATAAGAGATGATTTGAGTCGACAAAATGTTATTTTAAAAAAAAAACCTGACAGTCTTCACAAATGAAAGATTAATTTTCCATCTTAAAAAATGAGAGATGATGAGGGTAAAAAAGTTAATAAAAGTTTTGGCTTCTCATTAGACGCACGGCTCAGAAAAAATATATTATATATTCTAATGTCTATGCAACCAAATCTTTTTAACCCACATGCCTTCGCATCGTATATGCGTATAACATCATTAATCTAAGTAGCACCCCTTTGACTCAATATAATAATATGGATACTTGTATCTTTATGGCCACAGTTCATTTTCAATATAATAATTTAACCGATGTTGTGACACCCTCCACCCCAAACACGCACCATAGCAGCCTTTGGCGGAAAGGTTTACTCTGTAAGGTGAACAGTACAGTGGGCCACGACAAGATGCATGTCGAAGTTATTTTTTACTGATCGTACTATCCCAACAAAAATAAGTTCTGCCAACTCATCAATATTTTTCCTGGAAGACGGGCCACCACAAGGCTCGTCACTGAGTTGTAGCCGTTTCTTTATAATTATTAATGAACCTACAGGACGAGCTAAAAGTGGAGAAGCCACTGCACTCAGATGACCTTGTGATGTGACAAACTTTCCGAAGCACAGTTACAAGTGCTAACGTATTAACCAAGATTTGATCAGGCTCAGTAAATAATGTGCAAATAAAATTAAACAGCACCAAGAAATTATACACGTATGTTCACAAAAAGTCGCAATTTAGCCAAACACAACATTACATTATCCCTGCAAGGTAGCCAAACAGAACATTACACTATCCCTGCAAGGTAGCCAAACAGAACATTACACTATCCCTGCAAGGTAGCCAAACGGAACATTACACTATCCCTACAAGGTAGCCAAACAGAACATTACACTATCCCTACAAAGTAGCCGAACAGAACATTACACTATCTCTGCAAGGCAAGTTCTTTAAAAAGAAGACAACCCAAAATTTCTAGATGAACATTTAAGTTTGCAAATATATTTTTCGAAATCATGCTCACAACTTGAAAGGGTAGTCAAAAAGATGACTAAAACTTGTTAAAATGCTGACCAGTACCGCATATGGCAGTGCCTGTACCACACTGCTTGACCAGTACCTCATGTGGCAGTGCCTGGACCACATTGCCTGGCCAGTATCTCATGAGGCAGTGCCTGGACCACACTGCTTGACCAGTACCTCATGTGGCAGTGACTGGACCACATTGCCTGGCCAGTATCTCATGTGGCAGTGCCTGGACCGCACTGGCTAGCCAGTATCTCATGTGGCAGTGCATGGACCACACTGCCTGGCCAGTACCTCATTGGCAGTAATTAGTTCAAAGAAATGACGTGTAAGTTACCAAAGGAAGCATATAAAGGACTGTTTTGTTGAGGGCCATTGTCCAGTGAAAATTATTGTTAACATACAATCAAGATATAAATAATATGATTAAGTATAACACGAATCCATAGGTAAAATTGTTTTTCTTACATACGATTTGATTGATTTATTGCAAACTCTGGGGACACATGGTAGAACGTTATTGGCACACAAAGTTTGTAGCGACACTCGCGAGAAACCTGTCGACACACTAGTTTGTATTTCACTTTTGACAATCTTGACACACCAGTTTGTAGAGACATTTTTAAGAATCTTGACGAAGCACTGGTTCGTAGCGACACATCGGCTGTACTTCATCTTTCAAACAAAATTTTTCATAAACTATGTTGAATATGTAACTCAAAAAACAGAGATAAAAGGAAATGTGCATGAAACAACAATCCACTAAGAATGTTCACAATCCACACACAATCAATCCACTAAGAATGTTCACAATCCACACACAATCAATCCTCTAAGAATGTTCACAATCCACACACAATCAATCCACTAAGAATGTTCACAATCCACACACAATCAATCCACTAAGAATGTTCACAATCCACACACAATCAATCCTCTAAGAATGTTCACAATCCACACACAATCAATCGACTAAAAATGTTCACAATCCCAACACAATCAATCCACTAAGAATGTTCACAATCCACACACAATCAATCCACTAAGAATGTTCACAATCCCCACACAATCAATCCACTAAGAATGTTCACAATCCCCACACAATCAATCCACTAAGAATGTTCACAATCCACACACAATCAATCCACTAAGAATGTTCACAATCCACACACAATCAATCCACTAAGAATGTTCACAATCCACACACAATCAATCCACTAAGAATATTCGCATTCCCCACACAATCAATCCACTAAGAATGTTCACAATCCACACACAATCCCCACACAACCAATCCACTAAGAATGCACGAACCCCTTTCTCTCTCCCCCATCCCCTTTACACACTCACAGTTTAGGGGCTGTCCATTAATTATGTCGACAAAATAGGGGGGAGGGGGGTCTGAAAATATTTGATAATTGTTGACAAGAGGGAGGGGGGGGCGGAGGTCAAGAAAAGTTGACGTCAACAATGTTACTTGTTTAAAATAAATGTAATTACTTTACAAAGGAAAATTAGGCAGCGTTTGTAGTCCTGTGTTACCCACTCGCACAACCTTCAGTATTTCAATTAAACTGAAATTTGGAATGAGTTGAAAAAAAAAGAGGACGATTTGCCACCAAAAGTAGATTCGTTATTGAAAAGTTATGCCGCCTTAGCACAGAGAAATAAGGCAACATTAATGAGCTTCTGGGCAGACCAGTCTATGAAGAGTGTAGATGTCCTTCCTAAAAAAGCAGCCACAAATGGTAAAATTGGAAAAGAAGTTGTGAAATATCAAACACAAATCATTCAACAAGACCACATAGAAATCGGTTTAGAAGTTGGTCCATCCAGTACTACTTGTGATGAAAAATGAGTAATATACAAAGCAAAAGTACAAGATGAATTACAGAGTCAGATAAGCATCTTCAAGAGCGATTTGATTGGCTTGTATAAACGAAAAGAAAGTGGTGTTTTCAGTTCAGATCAGGAAAAGCAACTAAAATAAAAATACAATTTAAGGTGATGAGCTAGAAAAGAAACTGAAAAGAAAGAAATATGAACAAGATAAGCAGAAGATATACCGAAAAAAGAAAAAAAAGAAACTTTAGCTCAAATTTGTGGTGAAAATCCTGACGACAGCAGTAAATTGAAGAAATCTGGTCGACCAACAATTGAAGAAGATCAGCCGCTCCTTTTAAAAACCATTGTTGACATTGCCTTGCATGGGTCTGCTGCTCACGACAAAAGACAGAGTGACATTTATCGTAGTGTTAGAAATCTCGATGATTTGACAGAACAATTAAAGATTCAAGGTTTTCAAATAAGTAGAAGTGCTGTTTATACTCGGCTCTTGCCAAAACAAAGTTTATCATCGGAAGGCAAACGCCATGTAACAATTGTACCAGTGAAGCTAATTCGAGCACAAAATGATTTACACTCAAAACACGTTGGTGGTAGATTTTGTACAGCTACTTTGAATCACTTAGAGGAAGTGGCTTCTTTTCTACAAATTATCAAATGTTGTGATCTAACTTGTTGCCAACCGATTAGAAGCTGGTACTTTGATATTATTGCTGATAGATTTATCTCCCCCCCCCCCCAACCAATTCCAGTCTGCTAAACTTATGAGGGCCTTAAAGCACCAGATGTATTTGATATAAACTCACATAGATTTCCATCTCTTTTCTTCAATCAGTCTGTGAAAGTTGAAAACTTACTACCTTGATCGGCAAAAGCATTCAAAATTGTTCCATATGATATATATTGTCCGTCTATTGCAATTGTTTGAACGATCTGTAAAATCTGTCACCTTTATGCTGCTTCGCAAGCCATGTTAAAGAAGCACGTTCAACAGCACCAACAATGTATGCCTGGGCCTAGTCAAATACTACATGCACCCCAACAGCAAAGAATTCGTCAAATGCGAGTGGCTGCCAAAAGACAGAGAGACCTCATGGCAATTATTGCTCATGGGGAGATGCTAAGTGCAGAATGGATAGATGAAGAAAATATTGACTTGTCTGGTGTTTCGGTTCCACAAGAAATTATTCAGCCAGAACATATGCTAATAATAACAATTAGAGGAACATTTGACATCTCCATGGGAAGATATAGAGGCTAGGATATAAGATGTGGATTTGTTTGTAAAAAAAATATATGTTAATAAATTAAAAGTGTATTTATAGTTTAACCTTTTAATCTCGTTTCTGCTTGAAGTTAGAACAAGTCTTTGTAAATATTCAAATAGTCTTTAAAGTGTTATATTAATTTGAAATATGTTCATAATTTAAATGTATAATGTGTATACATTTTTGTAAACTCTATAATCTCTTTTCTGTTTAGAGTAAGCCCCTTTGTAGTTATAAATTGGAAATATGTTCATAAGTTAAAAGTTTATTACACTTTTTTTTAAAAACATATTATTTTTTATTTTTACTCACTTTTGTTGTTGTACTTGTAAACTTGTCTATTTAAAATATGTTTTCCCCCATTTTATTATTATTATTATTTTTTTTTGGGGGGGGGGGTAATCAAATGTTGACGTAATTTTATAGGGGGGTCTCTGCAATTTTGACAATTTGTTGACAAGGGGGAGGGGGGAGGTAAAAATCGCCAAAAAATTTGTTGACATAATTAATGGACAGCCCCTTATCAGTCCTTTCCTTTTATAAAGACACACTGAAAACTTCTCTGAAATCGTTTTACATAAACCTTGACACGTGGGAACAGAACTCAAAGGGTCGAGACTCGTGGCGCTATTCCCAACGCAAAGGGTGATCACCAATCCGATATTTTAAACAAATTATGATCGATTTACGTCGGAAGAGCTAATGCTTCCCTTTATTTAACTCTTTCATTTCGTGTTTATTACCAGGTTGTACCTTTGGTCTGCAACAGCTTGTTAAAGTTTTGCAACACCCTGCTAAGTTCTCACGGGCAGTCTTGTTACGTCCTAAGTGACAAACAACGATAATGATAACAATGACAGCAATAACAAAAACGATTGATACAACGATTGCTGCAATTGGCGCACTATCAAGTTCATTTCGTCCGCTATTGTCTGAACTAGACGTAATGTTTAGTTCATATTGATTTGAAGTTTGGCTGGTCACGTGTGTTGCGTACCCATTGTTTGAAGTGGTGGCGCCATCTGTAATTAAAGATAGATAACTGTAATAATCCACACATTAAATCAGTTCATTAACATTTAAAAAAATTGCAAAGACAAAATTAGCTTTTAGTCTTGATGTAGAACTGAGCGTGTGGTGTGTTTGTGTGGTGGTGTATTTATGTGGTGATGTGTTTGTGTGGTGGTGTGTTTGTGTGTGATGTGTTTGTGTGGTGGTGTGTTTGTGTGGTGGTGTATTTATGTGGTGATGTGTTTGTGTGGTGGTGTGTTTGTGTGGTGATGTGTTTGTGTGGTGGTGTATTTTTGTGGTGATGTGTTTGTGTGGTGGTGTGTTTGTGTCGTGATGTGTTTGTGTGGTGGTCTGTTTGTGTTTACATCCAAATAAATATATCCCCAACAAAGTAGCCGTCTGAGATTTTTTTAGGTATTTCCATGAACCTCTCAGAGGTTCACCGTTTGTTACCTGAGGGGGCAGTGGCCGAGGAACAGTGGTAATTAGAGTATTATAAAGGGAGATTAGCCAAAATTAACTGTGTAACTGGAACCTTGTCGGCAGGCATTTTTTTCCAGGTAAATTTTTTTTTTCTCCTTGAGCGATTGTTGTATCCAAGGAGTACCTTTTATTTTTCGCTGCGTCACGAGAAAATTGCAATGAAAATCGTAAAATTTGACTACGTAGGCTTGCATCGTTCGTCAGGACTCTGATCCTCACCACATAAGCATGAGAGGTAATAATTTTAAATCTGACCATAATCCATCCAGCAGATGCTAATGGAAAAAGATGCAGTGCAGTACAGTAGAAGCAAAGGGGACGAACTCAAAGATGTGCGGGCAATACCAAGTTTCATTACGTAATAATTCATAATAATTTGAAAAAAAAAATTTTCTTCGTTAATGCACTTAAAAATTTTATTTCAATAATTCATGCCTACAATGTGCACCGATATACCTTTTACTTTAATATTCAAATGTATTTAGTACAGATAAATAAAATAATCTCCCTATTTACTCCATATCTACATCAACTGCATCGTCATCATCAGTTTTAGTGGAAGCGTAACCTTGTGAGAATTTATTTCTATAACAGCCCCAACTATTTTGGATACAAAAATAAATCAACAAAGCAGTAACTACTGCCCCTTAAATTACGCCGGTGATGCTTATTCATGTACTTGCTTCCTTCGGTAAACTGGAATCTAAAATATAGGTGAGAACGTTTTTTCGTATACATACATTTTTATTTTATGGTGCTTTAAGATATTATTTTAAATAATGTCTGAATCAACAATAATATTTTTTATGGTAATAAGGGGAGAGCCTGAAATCAGGTTAGCCCAATATAAAATTTGTAAAAAAAAAGTAGGATTAAACCTGAAAAAGGAACGCAACAAAACAACGAACATGTCGGCAGAAAGCCTTCGTCAGGGAAGAAAACAACAGAAAAAACGGTATGGAAATGAAACAAAAAATAGCACTTAGATTACAAGTCGTATTCTCGTGGGCAGCAAAAGAAATGTGACAGAAAGTATTAAATATGGAAGAGCGAAATAAAAGAGGAGAAGTAAGTCCACTGCGATAGGTCGGGACGTGGAGGGGCGGAGCTTTACAAACATTCGAATCTATCCTAATCTCACCTGGAAAAAAAAAAATCACCTATTTCTTCTGGATGTAAGCTCTCTATACACTTCCACTGAAGGTCTCTTAGCTCTCAAATCCTCAAAATTGTCTTTATGGTGGCATTTTGATTTCCTTACTTCTCCTCTTTTATTTCGCTCTTCCGAATTTAATCTCTTCGCACATGTGGGATTTCTCCCCACCCTTGCATTACCCAGGTGTTAAGTAGACGACGTGTATATGTCCCCGTGTTTCCCCGTGCTGTTAACTCTAACAGACAAGAAACAAACTCAAAATCGCATTTAAGGTGTGGCTAGCTAAAAATAGTCTCTTGGCCTTGTTTACTACCAACTAAATAGAATCAATGGCCTGTTTATTCTTGGAACCTTGTGGAATTATATGGAATGTGTGAGAGCTGCGCTACATTCATAGTTTGCTTCTACACAAACTTCAGATATAATATGGGATCCAAGGCACCACTAAAACATGGATCTCTAGCTTCCTCAGCAACCGATTCCAAGCAGTAGTGGTGGACGGTACAAGCTACTCATTTGTCGGTGTGAAGTCAGGGATCCCCCAGGGATCAGTGCTAGGCCCCTGTTTGTTCCTAGCATACATTAATGACCTACCCAAGAAACTGACATTCCAAGCAAGATGACACCGCTTTATATAGGACGATCGTTAAAACAGATCTGACCAGGACCAGTTACAACAGAATCTCAATCGGTTAGCTGAGTGGGAGATGAGCTGGGACATGGAATTTCACCCTGCCAAGTGCCAGACACTATCAGTCTCTAGAAGTTGTACTCCTCTACACTACCAATACGAACTGCACGGCCATATTCTTGAGCAAATTTCCTCCGTCAAGTACCTGGGTGTTACCATTCAAAGAGAGGTCCGCTGGGACGAGCATATTAACAATGTGTGTAACCAGGCAAACTAGACCCTCTGGTTCTTAAGGCGTAATCTAAAGATTGGCAACTCCTGTGTGAAAGAAAAAGCATATAACACCATTGTCGGTCCGATTTTAGATTATGCATCTTCAGTCTGGGATCCATTTACCCAGAAGAGCATTGACAGGATGGAGGCGGTCCAGCGACGGGCAGCACGCTTTGTCCTGACACCGCTACAGGAAAACCTCTAGTGTTGGCAGTATGCTGGAAACACTGGGCTGGTCACCATTGAAGGAACGGCGACGCCTATCCAGGCTCTCCAAATTGTACAAAATAAATATCGGGCTGGTCCACTGTTCAAGTATTAAACAGAAACTCGCCCCAATCCCCCATAGACAGCGATGAGGCAATGACAGGCAATTCGGGCTCATATCAGAAAAACAAGTATAGGAACTGCTCATTCCTGCCAAAGACAATCAAGGGCTGGAACAAGCTTTCAAAAGGAACGGTTGAGGCGACAACCTTAGACACGTTTGCGTCTATTGCCTCAAGCCTTCCAACCTCCAGTGCACGCTTCCCTCACAAAGTAGCACTTGCAATCAGTGAAATATCCTCATCAACACCAGGCACAGAAACATTCCAAATTCCCTCTACATGCATAGGAGCAAAAAATATCAATAAATTGAAGAAGAGGAAGAGACGATTAGATAGAGATGTGTTTATTTATAAGTGTGAATTCCTATTCATCGTTATAACTTACTTCTCCTTTTATTTCGCTCTTCCCTATTTAATCTGTCACTCACTTACTTTCTGTCACATTTCTTTTGTTGCCCACGACTTCTAATCTAAGTGCAATTTTTTATTTTATTTCCATACCGTTTTTTCTGTTGTTAAATGTCGTTTGCAAAAATCTTGACTTGCCCCGGGTGGCACTAACCCTAGCTACGCACTTGCGCTGATGTACCTTATATATATATATATGGTTGAAATGGCTAGAAAGACTTTGCAATTGTATGCTAGTAATTAGTTTTTGGAGTGTTGCGTTTGTTTTAAATGTGGTAAATTATAGATTTGTATTTCGTTGACTTTGTACCGCGCTTCGAGCCTTTGGGGATGAAGCGTGTTTTTGAAATGANCAGATATATATATATATATATTCATTTAAGACGTAGATACATTAACGGTTCGGCAGAGAGGCTAGCTCCATAAAAATATAGAACTTTTTATTTTTTACTTTCTATATCAATGATAACCTAACCTTTTCCAGGCTAAAATTTCATCATTTACATTCATTCACAAATGGGAAATGGATACCTCAAAATGAAAAAAAAAACTATCAATGTTTAAAATGTTAATGAAACTATATCACATATGCATTTTGGTCTTAAGTTAATAAGCAAATCAGTGAATCATTAAAAGGCTAACCATTTGAAGACAAAATGTGACACCCACATGAATTTTGTTTTCTGTAATTGAGCAATGACAGCTTCAACGCACATAAACAGAAATTATGCTCAGGGAAAGATACCATGGAGGGCCAAAAAATTATTATAAATTCACTTGACAGTTTCTATACAATTTAACGAAATACCAAGCAGTGTCAAGAAAATTGCATCAATTGCCAAGAACTCTAAAGATGAATGAACTATCAGGTGAAAATAATTATGTAGCACGCTAAGATTTGTGACAACTGTAAAAATCATCAAGCCTTTAACTATTAAGATTAGGATTCATACTTTTTTTAAAAATCAAATTGTGTCTCACCTACAGTTGTTGTGATTGTTGTGGAAGATGTTGTGGAGGGCCTGGATGCGCATTCGTATAGTCCATCCTTGTTGGGCTCGGCCACCATGTCGGCGCTCGCACAGCAGAACGTGTCGTTGATGTCGTTACATGGCAATATTTCAAACTTTTCCCCATTCGAACAGACTCGGCATTCAGAACATTCAACTACGTTTTGCCTCCGGTCCTCTACCTGGACGAAATGGTTCTGAGAACAGTTCAAAAATAAATCGTGCGTTGCGTTGCACTCGCGACGTACATCAATGTTCCCTTCGTGGTTTTCAAGTGTCGTTCTGCACTTTTTACATTCCGTGTGTGTGTGATTGTCTACATCCATGAAAGTATTTTCCGGGCACTTGGTGCAGTTGCCGCTGCCGACACCTTTTAATGTCCCACGTGTGCACTGCGCCTCTGAAAGTTGACATACGGTCGTCGCACTAAATATGATGATCAGAAGTGTGGATCGCACCAACTGGACCATTTTTAGATTTTTTTTTTTAAACTCGAATTTAGCAAGTAGTTAATCACTTTTTGTGTGTGTTAATTTAAAGACTGTGTTTTAGAACTGAGTCTTCGTCTGAAATATGAAAGAGGAAAAAAAAAACTGAATCCAAATTCAAGTTTAACGTCAAATTATTAGTCAACACATTTGACATTTTGTTAAAAAAAAATTTCATGGAAGTTAGCAACAAAAAAAAAAAAACACAACACCCCCCCCCCCCTCTTATCAACAAATTTTTTCTAAAAAATCCTATATGTAATGTAACGTCGAACAGTGAGGGGTAGGGTGTGTTCAAAATTTGAAAGAATGTGTTGTCATCGGAAACGAGCATATGTGGCAAGTTTCAGCTCGATAGGTTGACGGCAATCGGGTCATTTGCCATCCAGCCAGCCATCCACTAACAAAAGTGAAGTTAATTTAAATAAAAAAAAAAAAAAACAAACCCCCCCCCCCCCTCTTATCAACAAATTTTTTCTAAAAAATCCTATATGTAATGTAACGTCGAACAGTGAGGGGTAGGGTGTGTTCAAAATTTGAAAGAATATGTTGTCATCGGAAACGAGCATATGTGGCAAGTTTCAGCTCGATAGGTTGACGGCAATCGGGTCATTTGCCATCCAGCCAGCCATCCACTAACAAAAGTGAAGTTAATTTAAAGGATTAAAAAAAAAAGAAATAGAGTATAATTTAAAAAAAAACCAGTAACAGAACAATAAACTAAAACAACGGCGAGACCAGTGCAATAGAATTCTAAGTAAAAGGATTGCTACGAATCAAAATGCCTCAGTTGTTGAGATGTCATTTAATTTTAAAGAGCTCGCCTTGTGCAAAGGGGGATAAACGAACCTAAAATCCGCTCAGCACATTACAGACCGGTTTACCCCCCGGATTAGTGTCAGCGTAGTTTTCAGGTGTCAGATACGTAGTTTCAAACTTCAAAGAGTAGTTTGGTGATTAGCGGGAGGATAGACTCAAAATACAAGTTGTGTCAGGAAATCCACTTTGTTGAAGGATTTGTTTTATTGGATTGTATACGGTGTTAACACAAAAAAAATACGATCTCTTTATTTTTATTGAACATAACCCAATGATTCATTTTTTACATTGAAAATAAACAAAACAAATGAAAAAACTTACTAAACAGTAGTTTTTTTTTAAGGCTCGTCTCAGTGCCGTAGTCTAAGGCTTAAATACGTAGTTATTACGGCGAAAGCGTAAGGGTAAACAGGTCTGCCATTATTAAACTATAATTTGAGTACAGTCCTTTGAAATAGAAGTTGCTGTAATGTTTTTATTTAGCACGCTGCAATGATCAATGTTTTGGGCATCAAGTAATCTAAATTGACATAGCGTAATAGAGCACCCGGAATGATGGGAAACCCCAACATCTACATTTGGTACAGTGTGTGCGGGCGTGAGTGTGTGCGTGTGTATTGTGTGGAGGGTCTAGGCTTGGTGTTACGCACTGCTGTCTTTTGGGATAAATTAATCTCTTATGTTAAGTTTATGGGTCGCTCTAAACAGTGCATAACAAAAGACGATACCATATGGGAAATACAATAGCAAAAGAATACGACACTCAAAATAGTGCTAACTACAATTAATAATTTTTATTAAGTTACTAATAAATTACAAAATAAAAGAAATATTGTATTTCTTGTACTGGTACAAAAGTTGATGAAAATTACACTGTGCCAAAAATAAGGTACAACGATGAATATGAATTCACACTTATAAATAAACACTGCTCTATCAAGAATAACACACTCTAAAAATAATTCTAGCCTATCGTCCCGCATAGTAAAATAAATGCTAGAGGTCCATGTTTTAGTGGTGCCTTGGATCCCATAAAATAAATGCTAACCCTCCTCAGTCTTTCAATTCCCCGGCTTTATATATTGGTATGGCATGTTTCTTATATTTCTCGACAAGGATCTCGCATTCTAATCGTCTCTTCCTCTTCTTGCTCCTATGCATGTAGTGGGAATTTGCAATGTTTCGGTGCCTGGTGTTGATAAGGATATTTCACTGATTGCAAGTGCTACTTTGTGAGGGAAGCGTGCACTGGAGGTTGGAAGGCTTGAGGCAATAGACGCAAACGTGTATAAGGTTGTCGCCTCAACTGTTCCCTTTGAAAGCTTGTTCCAGCCCTTGATTGTCTTTGCCAGGAATGAGCAGTTCCTATACTTGTTTTTTCTGGCATGAGCCGGAATTACCTGTCATGGCCTCGACACTGTCTGTGGGGGAGAGGGACGAGTTTCTGTTTAATACTTGAACAGTGGACCAGCCCATTACTTATTTAGTACAATATGGAGAGCCTGGATAGCCGTCGTCGTTCCTCCAATGGTGACCAGCTCAATGTTTCCAGCATGCTGCCAACACTAGAGGTTTTCCATCCAATCAATGCTCTTCTGGGTAAATGGGTCCCAGACTGAAGATGCATAATCTAAAACCGGACCGACAAAGGTTTTGTATGCTTTTTCTTTCACACAGGAGTAACCAATCTTTAGATTACGCCTTAAAAACCACAGGGTCTTGTTTGCCTGGTTACACACATTGTTAATATGCTCGTCCCAGTGGACCTCTCTTTGAATGGTAACCCTCAGGTACTTTACGGAGGAAACTGGCTCAAGTATATGACCATGCAGTTCGTATTGGTAGTGTAGAGGAGTACAACTTCTAGAGACTGATAGTGTCTGGCACTTGGCAGGGTGAAATTCCATGTCCCAGCTCATCTCCCACTCAGCTAACCGATTGAGATTCTGTTGTAGCTGGTCCTGGTCAGATCTGCTGATGATCGTCCTATATACAGCGGTGTCATCTGTGAACAGTCTTGCTTGGAATGTCAGTTTCTTGGGTAGGTCATTAATGTATGCTAGGAAAAAACAAGGGCCTAACACTGATCCCTGGGGGATCCCTGACCTCACATCGACAAAGGAGGAGCTTGTACCGTCCACCACTACTGCTAGGCATCGATGGCTGATTAAGCTAGAGATCCATGTTTTAGTGGTGCCTTGGATCCCATATTATATCTGAAGTTTGTGTAGAAGCAAACTATGAATGTAGCGCAGCTCTCGCAAATTCCACATAATTCCACAAGGTTCCAAGAATAAACAGACCATTGATTTTATTTAGTTGGTAGTAAACAAGACCAAGAGACTATTTTTAGCTTAAAGCCACACCTTAAATGCGATTTTGAGGTTTTTTTTTGTCTGTTAGAGTTAACAGCACGGGGAAACACGGGGACATAAACACGTCGTCTACTTAACACCTGGGTAATGCAAGGGTGGGGAGAAATCCCACATGTGCGAAGACTGGCCATTCGTCGTAGGGTGTAAGATTGCACCGGGACGAAGCCAGTACCACCGGGACGAAGCCAGTACCACCGGGACGAAGCCAGTACCACCGGGACGAAGCCAGTACCACCGGGACGAAGCCAGTACCACCGGGACGAAGCCAGTACCACCGGGACGATGACAGTAGTTATAAATCACGACATTGGAATGCAAGGTCGGGTTGCTAGTTAATGAGAAATGTCCATTGAGACCGAGGGAAGCGTGACGTTTCCATTGTACAGGGTTGTACACATATGTAGACATAGTTGGTAGCACAGATGTAGAAACGGTTGGTTGCAAAGATGTTGTTCGTCCGTCGAAATCAACCACGACCATCGAGTCATCCGGTTAGGGGGAGGGTGGGTTACGGTGAACTCATAGGTGGCTTGCTAGTCCGTGCTCGGAACAATCTCTGGCACCGCGGACAGGGTATAGTTGCTGAAGCCAGTGATCTAATATTAACACCGATGTAGAAACATTTGGCAGCACGGATGTAGAAATAGATAGTCCTGGGAAGACATCTTCAGAGATGCCAAGACAAATTCTGGTAAGTATGAAAGGGGACCTTTCATGGGGACTTTATGGGAGTTCATTAGTAATTGTTGCGACTGGGTATTATGTTTCATTACGCGCGGTGTGTGTTTGAGAGTTTTATTGGATAGTGAACGCGCTTCCCGCGCTTGACTCTGTGACGTATTTTTATGCGGATTGTGAGGTATTGTCTAGACAGTGTTGTGACGTAAGTTTTAGTCGTGGGGCAGTCGTGAATGGAACTTTGTAGAAGTAGGATGTGTATTATTTATGTCTGATAGCGAGCTGCGCTACATCCATGTGTTTATGTGTATAGTAAATACCTAGATATTAAAGTTTTAATTATTATGACAAGGTCTTGAGTTTATTCAGTGATAGTAAGAATAGTACGATGTATTCATCGTGTGAGAGAACTTGAAGAATTAATCAAGCCAGTAGAGCATAGGAGTTGAAAGGGATTAGGGGAGAACTCAGCCAGACAGGAGTAGAGGACAGTCGGGGAGAACACAGTGGGAGAGCAGCGGCAGCACAGTTGAGGGCCCCACGAGGACACTAGAGCGATACGTGCCGTGACAGTCAGAGCTGAGTAACGGACGAGTGAAAGTGAAGCACTGTGGCAGATACATAAAAGTGTAGGACTGACCATTGACGTTTTGTCACCTGATTGGTGCCGTGCGAGTGACATTTGGAAGCAATGGTTATCATCCAGACAAACGAGTTAGAGAGCGGAAGTAGAACTTGGACTGGTCAAGGTTCTCTATATGTGTTTGTGTGTGTAGTGGCGTAGAAAGGGGGGGGTTAGATGGGGTATTCCACCACGGATGGCACTAGCTTCTTTGTATTCAGGGCAGCATTTTCGGACAACTAGCCTAGTTTTTTTCCGAATAAGTGAAACGTCAAATATCTTGGCCTGCCAAGTGTGTTATGAAATTCACTCGGTAAGATCGTTCTAAAGAGCTGCTTATACAAATGAATAGATATATACGCACGCAAGACATGGATCAATAAATATACACGTATGTCGCCAGACACAGAGGTGGGGGAAAGTCTGTACTTGTCTTTCAGGCTTAGCGTGCACATTTTTAGTGCTGTTTTGGGATTGCAATTTCAATTGGCATGCTGCTATAATGGAGCGACTGCGGCTGATTGGTACTGTCCAAAATAACACGAGCTCTATGGTTGAACGTAACAAAGGAAAAGTTACTGGTGTTGCACTACCGATACATAACATCATACTTTTCCTGCGCCGACAAGAGCAAAATCCTGAATTGTTTCGATCATATCCATCTCTTCAGCAATCGCTCGTTCTGTGGAGACTGCAGCCAAGCCAACTTAGCAATCTTGAGACGTGGTAGAGCGAAGATGTCTCACTTATGAGTTTGAGCTTCGAGAGGGTTCTGTCAGCATTCGCGACTGCTATTGGGACTATTAGCAAAAAATCGGATTGCAACGTACCCATTCGGAAAGAGAGCAATCAAGTCAAGATATATGGTCTATAATACATTATGGGACTTGACTTTTCTGTCACGTTTCTTGTTAAGGAAAATAGCTATTCAAACAGTTCTAATGCAATAATATCTGCTGAACAATTACGTAGCCAGGGTAAGTGCCGCTTTGATTTGGGGAGGGGCGGGGACAAGATTTTTTGCCGCCCAGTGACCCCACGAATAAGTCACATTACGAATATATGTACTTTGAACATTGGCGTAACTCAAAAGGGTTAGTAGGGACGATGAGTCCCAGAATTCATATTTATGACCGTTAAAATGTTTTCATGAGTCTTCACAAATACATGCCCCACCCCCCTCCCCCCCCCCTCATATCGAAAATCTAAGGTAAGATGCGTCAAAGTAAACAAAAAATGTAATTCTCAGTGGTATCCGGTTACGTGGAATGGGTGGTGTCTTGGAAGGTATCCACAAGTTTGTTTTGGGATTAGGGCCGATTTCCGAAAATATGACGAAAGTATCTCTGATGTAAGAGCACCTCCCTCTGATGCCGCCTTTTGATGGCTAGCGCCTTTGTTAAAAGTCAAAGTTTATTTTTACCCTCGCGCAATAATTTCCTCTCATATTTCTTTCTAACTGTGTCTGAATATCAAGAGAAATGTGGAATTTGGACCAAATTTCTGTGTCTGAATATCAAGAGAAATGTAGAATTTGGACCAAATTTCTGTGTCTGAATATCAAGAGAAATGTGGAATTTGGACCAAATTTCTGTGTCTGAATATCAAGAGAAATGTAGAATTTGGACCAAATTTCTGTGTCTGAATATCAAGAGAAATGTAGAATTTGGACCAAATTTCTGTGTCTGAATATCAAGAGAAATGTAGAATTTGGACCAAATTTCTGTGTCTGAATATCAAGAGAAATGTAGAATTTGGACCAAATTTCTGCGTATGAATATCAAGAGAAATGTAGAATTTGGACCAAATTTCTGCGTCTGAATATCAAGAGAAATGTAGAATTTGGACCAAATTTCTGTGTCTGAATATCAAGAGAAATGTAGAATTTGGACCAAATTTCTGTGTCTGAATATCAAGAGAAATGTAGAATTCGGACCAAATTTTCCTAGTTTCAATGTTTGATTTTTGTATGTCAATCATTGTGAAATAAAATATTTTTTTGCCTCTTTTAATATAACAAAGTTAATTTCTTTTCTGTTCAGCGGACCGAAAGTGTCATAGTAAAGAAGTGCCAACTTGGGTGAACCTAGTGCTGACCTGACACCCCCTCCCCGCCTACTGCCCTCTCCTCTTTCTAAGCCGGTGCAGCTGAATTTAATTTTTTTTTCAGATGCTAAGACCACGCATTCTTCTTTTTATCATCTGTCTCTAATTTTTAACACATCGTACACAAATTTTAAATAAATTCACTGTGAGTTGATAACTTTAAAAAATCGACCATTAACTGAGTGCTTAGCTGTGTATAAAATCTGGTTCATAGAATGAATTGTAGCGTTCTTTTGTGGGTTAATAAGAAGCTTATCTGGTTTAAAGAAACACGGATTGACTATAAAATCTATGTTCTCCGCCACAACTTTGTCTCGAATTCCTGCCCTTCCTAACTAAACGAACTTCTCTCTTTCTATTCACCCCTCCGACAGCTTCGCTCCACCGCAGACGCGCATATTCTTTCTGTCCCCAAGACTCGAACAAAAACATACGGTGAACGATCTTTCTCTTTCTGTGCCCCCAAACAACGGATTTCTCTTCCACTACACATCCACAATATACCGACCATCACAGCCTTCAAAACTGCATTCAAAACACATCTATTTAATCTCTACTATCCTGACTGATTCCCCCCCCCCCCCCCCCATCTGACCACTATACGTCAATGGCTTCATATGTAAATAGCTTTGGAGTAAATGTGTGGAGTAAATATATATATTGTTTGTTTTATTTAATTAATGTATGTTAATTTTTAAGTTCATGATCAAGTTAGTTAAATTGTATGTGCAACGTGGTGGGCCCAGCCCTAGGCTGGGGTACCACGCTATATAAAAACTCCAATCATAATAGTAATAATTATAACTTCACTAATTCTTCAAAATTGTCTTTTTTTCCCCTTCATATTTCCGCCCCTAAGAAATGAATCCCCTCCTTGCGTCCGCCACTATTGAAGTTACCTAAAGTCAACACTGCTTGTGAGTGTGTGGTGTGGTACCATCGCACCATTTGTGTGGTATCATCGAACCAGAGCTGCCCACTGGCTAACATAGACTTTAAGGGTTTTCATTAATCATCCATGGTTTTTTAGCTCTGGGAGCAACAGTTATCAAACATTTCAGCCCACACCCTGCCCAGTCAAATTTCCGCTTAATGTAAGACACTTTTTTTTTAATTTTAAAAAATTCTAACACTTAAACATTTGTAGTTTTTAAAATACGTGTATTGTCGTAAAAGAAAAAAACAAAAACAACTCAACCGCTTTAACTTTTCGTAATCGTAATTGAATTAAATACTCTGTAATTTATTCCCTTTTGTACACCAGTGAACGTGACACAGGTTATAAGATCCAGCCGATTAAATACTTCGTGTCTATAGTGAGCCTATAGGTGGAAATCTACACAGCGATTTCCTGTATCTGTGATTCACATTCTGTCTGTATTTACACGCATGACGTCTTCACAAAACCAGACTGAATGAAGACGTAAGTAAACTATAAACTGCAGCTAGGCTTGCATTTGCCGCCAACATCACTTGGTTGTGTGTGTGTGGGCGTATTAACCTGTGAAAACACATGCGATTTTCACTACGGTACGTAAGACGAGCCGGGATCTGTATCGAGCCACAACAATGAATTAGTGTCTTAACAAGGCTGCCTTACAATTTAATCTCAAACACACACACTAATACACACACACACACACACATATATATATATATATATATATATATATATATATATATATACATTATATATATATTATGAACGGTAAAGAGAGAATTGTGATTTAAAATGTCAATCTTAACATCGTCGAAAAGCATCGCCGTAATGTCTTAGAAAGTTTAGAGGGAGATCTCATTAAAATGAAAAAAAAAATAGACTGCTGTCATATTTCACGGTGTTAGCAGTTCCAGTGTAAAGTCATGATTTTTCGTAGGTACTGTACATTAGAAGATATGTGCCTCCATCATGTACTTTCCCAATGCTGTACACTTAACGGTATACTTTTCCATGGCAGGGTTATTTGTCAAACACAAGGTGTGATTGTATATTGGACGTAAATGAGAACACCTTAGCCGAGTTATGGTGTCTCAAAGAATTTCGTTTCTTTTAAAGAAATACATTTCCTTATTAGTTTCTTTTATAGTATACATACACACTTCCGGGTATAAACAAAATGGCGGACACGCGGAACTGAATTGACTTAACGAGAACAAAATTGTCTAATTTCCCATAGAATGACAACCAAAATCATTGTAATAAACTCTGTAGGCAGATGATTATCCTAAAAGCCATTACGGAATGAAACCATTTAAACCTCTGCACCTGGTGCCTTTAAATATCTCTGAAGTAAATTTGTATTTAAAATTTAAACCCCAAAGGAATACCATTGACTGAGATGTGCTCCATTAACCCGGATACACTCTTACACTTCATGCTACCTGGTTCAGTATACTCATTTGGTGTTCATCGTGTCGTAAAGTATCTTGTTTTCTGGTTAGCACAACTAGAAACAGTTAGGAACATTGCCGTTTGATATTTATAATTACCTTATTACGTGGCCTCTGTTTCACTCATTACGTGACGGGTGCCTCCGTGCCACAGCAGTACGTAAATTCAAGTGTTGACTATTGGAGACATTTGGTTCGCCACTGTCACCCAGTTTGATTAGAGCAAGAATGATCGATATTCGGCACTTAAAATCAAAGCCGAACTTTGCGTTCCGTGTAAGACAATTTATTTGTATTGATCTGAATGGGCGATCAAGTGTACATTAGACTATGTGTTAGGGAGATTGATCATGTAACTTATTTAGGAGTGTCAAGATAATGAAATCAGACGTAGTGTATGTGTGTTATGAATTTGTGACAAATGTGAGTTAGTGAGCGAGCGTGAACGCTTTCCATGTCGATGAGGGTCGAGAGGAGGATATATGGAGGAGCTGTGTCATGGTCACGGGAGAGTGATCTAGGAACTGTGAGCAGTGTGTGCGATAGAAAGAGCAACTGCGAGACGTGTCTTCTTTTAGATAGATCCACTGTGAGATGTTTTGCTGAGTGGAATATTGTTATAGATATGGATTCATGTCTCAACTCAATGTGAACCAGATGGATGCCTCAATGCTGTCAGAAATAAACGCCTTATGTAGCATGAAGCTTTTTAGTGTTGTTTGAATCAAACTCGTCCGTTGTTTGGCCAAAGATTGCGCGCCATCTCAACAGTCGCCAACCGCATAAGACTTCTAGACAACGAAATATTTGACATCAGACCAAATATTTGACTAGGAGACGGAAGATTTTTCAAATGTATGAGATCTGGTAGTGTGCATGTGGTGGGGGTGGGGGTGGCAGAGAGTCATCTCAAAGAAAACCTGTCAAGTGTGTTATAAAATTCGCACAATAAGATCGTTCTAAAGAGTTGCTTATACAAATGAATAGATATATACGCCCGCAAGACATGGATCAGTAAATATACTCGTATGTCAGTAGTCAGGCAAAGAGGCGGGGAAATTCTGGATTTATTATTCTGGCTTAGTGTGCAAATTTTTAGCCTTGTTTTGGGATTAAAATTTCAATTGGCATGCTGCTATAATGGAGCGACTGCAGTTGATTTGTATTGTACAAAATAACACAAGTTGTATGGTTGAACGTTATCGAAGTAAAAGTTACTGATGCCGATACAAAACACATTTAAAAAGGGTTAAATTGTATTGAACCATAATAACGAGCAGCAAAGGAAGAAACATACCATGAATAATGAAATAAAACATTTTTTGTACACCCTTTTTGGTAGCGCTCGAGCCACGCCACATTTGCTTTAGCATTCAGCACGATGTCATCATCATCATTAATGGCGCTAAAACCCATTTAGGATTCTATCACCCCCACCACATTATTCCTTTCAGAGCGATCCATCTGCGAACCCATCTCCCACGTCTGGTGGGACATATCTGCGAAATAACACCGTTATTGAAATTTAAAGCGTAAACAAGAAGCACGTTTGTCCACGCACTCTGAGAGAATGGCTTCTGGTTGGAGTAGCTGTCCTGCGTCTATTTGTAGGGCGGACAATGCATTGTACGCTTGATTGTAACAGTGTAAGGATAATACCGATAATCACAAATAAGTAAAGTCGCACTGCTGCGAGAATCGATAAGTGCCGAAACAGTTGGCAAGTTAAGGACAATAAAGTGTTAGAAAATTTAACGTAATAGATTGAAACGTGTCCAATCAACTGAACATAGACTGTCTAGGAAATGAAAACAAAAGCTATTAAAAATTTTACCCTTTATGTGATGTGATGAACTCGATGAGATGAACTCGATGAGATGAACTTGATGAGATGTACTTGATGAAATAAACTTGAAGAGATAAACTTGATAAAATGATCACGATGATATGCACTTGATGAGTTGAACTTGATGAAATGAACTTGATGAGATGAACATGATGAGATGATTTTGATGAGAAGGAACCTGATTAGAATGACCATGATGAGATGAACTTGATGAGATGAACGTGTTGAGATGGACTTGATGATAATGAACTTGATGAATTGAACTTGTTGAAATGAACTTGATGAGAATAGCGCTGTTTCTGAACATGCGCCGAAAATATGAAACTTCCTTTTCGTCATTAAAACTTTGTATCCGTCCAATGTGTCATCGTTGAACAAGTTTCTGCTTAGTGTTTCTCACTGTCACCAATGTGTTTCTGCAAAAACTACACGATGCGGTCGACTCACTCACGAGTGACAAGACTTATTAAAGAGTCTATTCTTCTGCAAGGGAACTCAGTCTAAAATTTTTTAATGAACCAGCTGATGAAACCACTGAGATCTGTTTGGGCGTACTGAATAAGTTTAATGAAGAAACATATGGACATTTTTGAAACAGTTTATTTTCACATTCGTGGTGGAATAATAATTTAAAAATGCTGAAATGGACGACAACATTTTTTTTTCCGTAATAGCGATTCATCTTAGGGGCATTTTCATATCCTGATTTTGTGACTTCTAGACAAAGGCATTCCTCACAAAAGACACACAACACTATATGTAAATAGATTATGACGGAACTAAGAAGGTCGATCAAACTATACTCGTTGAATTTTCAGACTATATTTTCTAATATACCAGTTATGTTCAACAAAACACTTGATTTTTATAGTAAAATTCTGTAAACTTCTTTTGTTACCCCAATATAACCGTAACCTTAGACGAAAAAAGCAATCGAAAAACTAAAATAAACTGTAAACGATGTTTAAAAAAAAATGTCGGTATGATGTCGTCAAAAAAAGATGTTGTCAGTACATCTAAGATGACACTCCACACAGCGTCGTCGTTGTTGCGCAGAGTTTCACCACACATCGATTATACGAACAATTTGTCTAGCGGACGGCGTGGGAAAGCACCGCACTTGAACATATCCAAGCTACACCTTTGATCAATTAGCGAAATGGAGGTCAACATAATTTTGTTTTGACAATGCCACTGATATTGATGTTGAAAACTGTTGAGCAGAACTTCTTTAGCCACCAACTTCTCTATGCTTACCTTTTCAACATAATGAAAGACTATATTTTTTTCGATTGTGAAATTCGTATTTAGAATCATCGTGTTGATTGAGTATTTGAAGGCTACGTTTGCAGAGGTATTAATATAACTTTTTTAAAAACAAACTATATGTTAATCTGCAAAAGTTCATTGTTATGAACTGCTAATAGTGGATAAACGGTTCAATGGCTTCGTGGCGTCTTGAGGTGATTATTCAACTAATGAAAGATTTACATGACATATGGTTCTTTGTTGAAACAAAAAAATACGTGTCTTCTTCCATCCGCTTTCTCTCCTCCAAAACATTACCACTAATAAACAACCATCAACGTCATCTCACATGCCCAAATACGTCACAAATACAAAGCACATAACATCAGCTGACGGAGGCTCTTAGCCAAAATGTTCTTATCTAATGGTCCTTGTCTTTCGATTCAAGCTTCCACTTAAATTGATCTATTATTTTGTTAAAAGGGCGCCATCTCGAACATCAGGTGGCCTCACAAAATCCCAAACACGGCAAATAAATAGGCCATATAATAATGAAAAAAATTAAATAGATCCTAAAAACAAAATGTTTCGTATAAATCCTTTTGAAATTTAAGATCGAGCAATTGGCGGTGGGGCAAAAAATTTGAGTAAAATTCATCCAAGTAACGCAATTAATAAGGATCTCATTTAGTACCCCCTCCCCCCTTCCAAGGTTCACACCCATACATTTTTTGTTCACGCTCCTCAACTATATTACTATTTTGATGACCCACACTCTTTAACACAACATATTTATTTCACCAACTATTTCAGAAAAAAGAAAATGATACACACCATTTAGCCCTGTTATCGGGAATGTCATTTTATCTTCCCCTTGAGAAACAGGGAAAACGTTTTTTTTTTTTTTTTTTGGGGGGGGGGGGGCTTAACATTGGATAGAATGTGTTTTTATCGGCAACAAGGTCATATGCCGAGTTTTAGCTCGATGGCTTGGCGGAAAGTGGGCCAATTAGCCGTCCGACGATTTTGCCAACCAGCCAGTCACTCGATCAGCCATAAACACAAGCGAAGTTAAAATAAAAGCTTTAAAAAAAAAAGGTGATTAAGAGAACGGTGAAAACCAACCCCCTCCTCCTCCTCCCCACCCATTCTAAAATACATAAAATAAAATCGTAGAACAAGGTATGTTGAAGCTTGAACCAAAAGACAGGAATAGAATATGGGAAAGTTTCGTCTTAGAGCAGCCCTTCAATTTTTATCAAAAGAAAAACCTGCGAAAAAAGAGTTGGACAAGGATGAATTACAGCTTTGAATGAAAGAAGATAGAGACGACAACGCCTGGGAAGAATGCATTCAGGAAACACCTGAGCCCTATCAACTAAGGCTTGTAAATCATAGTGTAGGCCCTAGGGCCTCTACCAGACATACAGATTCTTACTAGGACCCAGTTAGTCAAAAAAAGTTTGGAAACCACTGCTCTATAAAATACACTTTAACACTTTTTAGGTCAAGAGTTAAAGTTCATAATTAAATTTAAATTAGTTATTTCTAGCAGTTGGTGTAGACATTTTCAATGTTATTTTTTATTCTTTTCCTTAATGATCAATTTAAACTAATATCCCTTATTCCGACCAATAGAATAGGCACGACACATTTAGAATGTATAAAAATTGAAAGAAACCAAACGGAAGCAAGGTGAATAACTCATTAATAAATATGATGAGAAGAGTGCTCCATGGCTTTTTTTGTGTTGGCGATGTAGAAACTTCAGAGAACGTAAAGAGAAGTTATTCTTGAATTCAAGTTGTTAACTCATGTCCCTTATGTATTAAAGCAATTTAATTATCCCTTGTGTGCAGTGGCGTAACTATAGGGATAGCTAGGGATTTGGGGGCTCTTTGGGGGCCCCTGCATTTTGACTTTCGACATTATTGGATGCAAAAAAAATTTTCGGACGCTCCTTTTGGGGCCCCCCTCAAGTAGGGGCCCGGGGGGACTTTCGAAATAGGACCCACTCCCTTAGCTACGCCACTGCATTTGTGTGTTTAAAAAAAAACAAAAAAAAAATATATCCCTTGTGTGTGACAATTTTTCTTAAATTATTCAGATATATGCCACATG